GTTGAGGCACCTCTAGATCCCACAAAGGAGCTAGCAAGGTTGATTTCTGAACGGAAATATGAGGAGGCATTTATTGCAGCATTGCATAGAAGTGATGTATCTATTGTATCGTGGTTATGCTCTCAGGTATGCCATAAATGTTTCCTCATTTTAAATTTAACAGATAGTTCTCACCTGTTGGAATGCATTTCTGTGATCATTTCATTTGATCGGATTTAGGGTGTGTAGAGATTTTAATGTAGCAAAGGGGAAGCATTCAATGAGAGATTTTATTTAGTTGAGAGGAAGGGTTTTAATATTGGGAAAGTATTACATTACTTTTTAAACCTTTGTAAAATTTTATACACATCTCTCTCGTCCAAATTTCCAGGAACCCAAAATTGAATAAGAGTGATTTTGGTCCTCCCATTTCAAAAGAATGAGCCAACCAATGAAATAAACCCAACCAAACACTACATTCAGAAAAAGAAGTTGAGTAAAACCCTAAGGCATTGTTTGGATTGACGGAATGTGATGGAATAGAGTGGAATGAGATGAAATAGGACAAAACTCCATTGTTTGGATTGGTTAAAATCAAATAGAACGATGCGGAATGGAGTGGTATCTATTCCATTCTATTCCATCACTTTCCACCATTTTCTTACCTTTTGATTCTGGCGGAATGAGAAAATTACGTTGTTCTGTTTTAAATATCCAAACAATGGAGTGGAACCATTCTGCTTCATTCTGCTACGTTCATTTTAAAATACCCAAACATAGCCCAAAAGGCAGTCGTTTGCAATCTGGTTCAACTTGAGTTAGGTCTCTAATTTGTGGCATGCATATGAATGGTCGACATAATTACAGTCTATCGTTATCATCCAGTTGTCCCTATCGCATTTTCCTTTGTTTTGGAGTTGTTGTCGAGGAAAGCTCTCGTTTCACCTTACTGCAAATATACAAATAGAACCTACATCATGTTAAGACAAGTGGTTTGTTTGGTGCACTATCGGAATATCTTTGCATGGGAGTGGTTGTGAGAGCATTCACTTAATTTATAGCATTTTATTGGCCCTTATTTCAGCCAAGTATTTGAGCATTGAGAGAATCACTTAATTTTTGGATGTGCAGGTTGATTTACATAGACTTTTGACAATGGTTCCTCTTCCCTTAAGCCAAGGTGTAGTGCTTTCTCTTTTGCAGCAGTTGGCGTGTGATATTAACAACGACATGTCCCGAAAGATCGCATGGATGACAGATGTGGCTACTGCCATTAATCCCTCAGATCCCATGATAACAATGCATGTCCGGCCCATATTCGAACAAGTCTACCAAATACTGAATCATCAACGTAGCTTGCCTACAATCACCGGTGCTGATCTTTCAAGTACCCGCCTTTTATTGCATGTCATCAACTCCATGCTTACGACGTGTAAATGATTTATTTATAGAACTGTGCAAATTTATCTTTGAATTCTTCTAATACGATTAGAATTTTGTACAAAGCTGTGAGTTTCATTGAAAGGGTCAAAATCAGTAAAAGTTTAAGCTGTCAATTATGTCAATTATTCACATGCACATTGTTCTTTTTCTGGGTCAATTTAGACAGTTTCATTTTTAATTTCGAACAGGATTATGATGTAGAGATGGAAGTTATATTTTTGTCTAACAAAGTTTGCAACTACAAGTGTGAATATACTAGTAAATAAGCTAGTTTTCTATTATCTGGTAGTGGTTTATAGAACATGTTCCATTTCTTTCAGAGTTCTGTATTTTACTGTAATACTTGGTTGTCTATTTATTACTACCTCTATTTTCAAATACTATAATATGTCATTAACTTATCAAAGATTGAAATTAAGCGGCCACTTTTCATCTTCTTTAAAACCGAATTAAAAGGGCCAATTATTTTAGAAGTGTTTACTATTAAGGATATGTATACTACTTAGGAATGATTTTAGCTATACGATAACAAATTAATTTTAGTTAAAGGGAATTGAATGTAAAAAACTAATGTTTGGCTATAATTATGAAAAAGTGAGTTGAATTATTAATTTTTCATATAAAAAACCTGTTTAGCGTTTGAAGTTAATTTTCAATCTGACATTTCTCAAACATGGGTTGAACACGATTTTTGTGTACAAAATTACTGTTTAGCACTCCTTAAAACATTTTAAATTTTTGATGATTGAGATTCTAGATTATAGGAAAATGCAAAATATTTTTATACTTGTAGAAATATGTGTTAGACAACTTGGAAACTACATGAGGCCCCGTGGGAAGAGGACCTACTGAAAGGAGAAAAATCATTGTTTACATGTCTGTTTTCTTAAAGTCATTTTAAAAAAGGGTATCAAGGTTTACGTGACAATTACGCATTGTTTGCATGTACTTCGGTGATTTGAATTTGTTATCGTTGTTTCTTTCATGAGTTTTACATGACAATTGTTGAGTAATAGCGAAAGAGATCAACGGGTTGCACTATTTTTACAGTTTTTCAGAGTCATCTAACTTTTGTTGCCTTTTTATCTGTTCACCCAAGAAGTTTAAATTCCATTGACTCTGTTCCTCTGTCCAAGTAATTTACCTTAAAGGTGCACACACATTTATTGTGTTTAAAATTTAAAACAATTTTATTTTCTTAATTCATTCGTCCCAAAATAACAAGTGATGACTATGCAAAGTTTGAGCATGTTATTTGTATATCTAGGGGTGGACAAGAATCAACTATCCGAAATAACTGACTGGACTTATTGCAGTATTTTGTTTCGGATTGATTTATTTCGGTTTATGGGTTAATTTACGGTTTTTTGGTTCAATGAAGTTTAATGAGTATTTGAGTTTATTGGTCAAATTTTGTTTAAAAAGTAAAAAATTGGCCGTATATTTTGTTTCAGACCAGTTTATTTCAGTTTACATATTAGGCAGATGGTGATGAAATGTAATATAATGATAATAACTTATAGTTCTTTGGTTTGCATGAAGTTTAATGAATATTTGAATTTATTGGTTAAATTTTGTTATTTAAAAAAAATAAAAAAATAGGCCCTATAATAATCGAAATGGATTAAACAGAACAATATAAACATTTAAACCGATAATCCATCAAATGATAAAATCGAACTCAATTTTAGATGAAATTAAGTTCAACTTTCTTAACCGTAGATTTATTTAGATTAACTATTTTAAATCCGAATCCACATATAATCGAACACCATCCACCATTATTTGTATCCATTCCAACTTGAATCCATATATGTTTGAATACCAGTTTGTAAGATATTACTTTGTAGATCCAACTATAATTTATATATCAGATTTATATCTTATTCTATATATTTTTTAGATTCAGTTATCATTCCTATTTTAGACATAAGAACATAATTTGATAAATAATATAAAAAGAATAATAATTTTATTAAATTATCTTTATTAATTATGACTATTATTAATACTAAAAACAAGAGAATAATATATTTAAGAATGCCAATTGTTCTCATATTTAATAGTTACCCACTAAAACATATTCAATAGTTAGAATTATTGGTGTAATAGGATTAATTTAGATTGATTTTTGGTTAAAAAAAGTCCGAGTTAATGATATTTTTATTGATTTGGTTTGGTTTGGTTTTTAATATTTTTCAAAAATAGAATTGAATTAAACTAAACAGTTTATTTTAATTTGTTTTGGTTCAGTTGATCAGTTTATAATAATTTTTATAAAATATCACATTTCATGTAATTTATTTCATGTTATATTTTTTCAAAGAAATTACAAGTTGCTCTTAATACATGCAAAATAATGACATGATTTCTGTTGTATCATGAAATAAGTTCACGATTAAATATAAAAGTTGACACTTGACATTAGATGATTGAAAAATAATTTAAAAGTTTAACAAATAGAACACAACTAAGCATACATCAAATAATATGTTTTAGTCCTCAAACACACATCTAAACTATTTTGTAACAAGACTAGAAGAAATTTTGTTGAAGAAGAAGAAACAAAAAGATTAAAAAAATGAAAATTAACAAAGAGAACTTGAATATGAAGAAGACGATCATAATAACTTATGATTTCTATTTTCTAGATTTTAGAGTTTGGTACTATATAAACTTTTTACTGATAGGAAGGAAGTATAAACAAAGATGAAAAAATGATTAGACTGAAACATAATTTTGACTTAATGATGGATGAAATAAAATATTTAAAATATAATTATTTTTATTGATCCGATTTATTGATTTAACAGTTTTTAAAAACTAAAACTGATAACCAAATCAAATCACATTGATTTTCAACCAAAATCAATCGGTTTTTTTCTGACCCTAGTTAAAATAAAAAACATATAGATAACTCCATCCTCATATACATATCAAAATAATAATCTTTTAAAAAAAATATTAATCTTTTAAAAATAATACGTTAAATTATAATTTATTAATATAAATCACCAATGTAAATTTTGATTTTTTTAAATTTTATTAAAAATTTAAAATAATATAATATTTTTTAATTAATTTATTCATTTTTATTAAAACTGCGCAAATAACGATAAAGATACTTAAGGACCTATTGAGTATAAAAATTGATACGCAAGAATAGACTAGGGTACATGGAAATTTTATTTTTCATTTATATGTATGAGAACAGATATTACGTGGCCGAATACTATAGTATCCAATCAAAAAAGAATAAAATAGTAGAATAAAAATAAAAGTTACGTTATTAAAAATTAAAAGTAAATATTATTTTATTACAAATTAATTTTTCAATTCGGAGAGAGTAGCAACTATTTCTGCAACTATTTCTTTTACTTCCTTTTTAAAATTTAGTCACTAATTTGAGGGAAAAAAAACATCTACATTCTCACCAAAAGAAGGGACAGCACAGAATTCACTTTGCTAAATTAGCAATTTCAAATCTCATCACTCTCTTTCTAATTTCCTATTTTCTAATTGCTTTTTTTTTTTTTGTGAAGTATCTTAGATAATAACAGAAACAAGATGAACGCTTTCTACCAGCATTGGTCTGTTTCCCATCTTGTATATCCCGGACACCGTTTCAGTGTTACCGAACCCGAAAACTGCCTACTCCTCAACGACATGTCGTAAACTGCTCTCGCTGATGGATCTGAAAGCGTCTCGTAAGCTTTGCGGATCTCGATGAAGTCTCTGTCGTCACACTCCGGTAACCGTTGCGCCGCCGCGTCGGGATGGTAAACCTTCGCCAGACTTCGGTAAGCCGATTTGATCTCCGAATGAGATGCTCCTGGCTTGATTCGTAGCACTTCGTAGAGACTAGTAGCTGCTCTCCGTGTGTCGGTTACTGTTGCTGCGGCTCGGACGGAAACCATGCGGCGATTTGAGATACCGGAGGTGGAACCGTCATCGGGCAATTGGAGTGGCCGGGCGGAGGGGAGGCCGGTGAAACTGAGCATTGGCGCCATTGAAAAATTCCTCTCTTGAGAAGGGTAAAATGGGAATGAGAATGCAAAATGTTGGAGCTCTTGTTTTGTGCAGAAACATTGTGTGGTGAGTCTTTCTTATATAGTCTTCAATGAAGAGAGATAATGAGGATACTTTTAGGGGTATAAGAGTAATTTAGTTTGGCAAAAAGGATGAGTGTTTAATTCTGTTAAAAGAAAAATATAAATAAATTCTACAAGATTTTCTTAATGACTTTTTAGAATGTCTAGGTAGGAGACACATCACTATTTTCATTATAAAACTAAATGTTACTAATTTTTCTTTCTTTAATTAAGAATAATTGTTTTTTAAAATAGTAATATAACATTTTTTATAATTTTTATTAAAATATTTTATCACGTGTTTGTAATAATATTTAAATGATACTATTTATAACATTCTATCACGTGTTTGTAGACATATGATAAGAAAATAATAATATTATTTTATCATTTTATGTATTTGATACAACGTGGTATAAGAAATAATTAAAAATTTTAATTACAAAATTACTCTAAGCTCTCAATCAATATGTCTCTTGTGAGTAAATATCCCTTGATCAGTACCATAATCGTCCATATTACCTCTAATATAAAAAATCACGGTTTTTGTGTTGCTTTGATGATTTTTTAATTTTTTAAATCTATTTTTAGTTAACGTGGGGTTAAAATATTTAAACAGGTATTTAATCATTTTTTATTAATTAATTGAAGTTTTTTTTAATTGATTATTTATAAAATAAATTAATAAGTGTCCATATGTTTAACATATTTTTGACACCTATCAACTAATTAAGCGAATTCTTCTGTTTTTTTTCTTCCTCTTATTATTACAAACGACACGTTTCATCTCAGCTGTGAAATGTATTTAATTTTGATTATAGAAGCGAGACAACTAAGGACGTCATGAAAAATTTCTACTTTACCCCTCAGTTAATATAAAATTGATAACTTAAGTTATATGTACATGGATTCGAACACCAACATCTGCATTTTAATTAATTTTAAAACTATCGCATCATACCTCTTGGTTTTTCAATTAAATAGAGCGGTAAAATATATTATTTTATACAAACTACATTGTTTACACAAAAAAATTAATTTCTCTAAAGATTTAGATTTTAGATCTTTAAATCATATAATTTTGGGAAAGAGAAAATATTGAGTGCAGGATATTTTCAATTGCTTTTGTATACATTTGTTTCTGAAATAAACTAAAATAAAAAAAGTGTTAGATAAATAAATGATTTTCTGCTCAAATAAATATATAAGAACACAAATCTTAAACCCAAATAATTTTCTGCTCTTGCAATCCATCATAGAGATTTTTTCATGACAAACCTTAAAGTGGTGGATGTAGATAGTTTCAAGCGCTTCATGATGCTTCACAATGATATTTAGAATGCTATTTTTGTTATTCATAAAGCTTTTATAATGCAAGTATTTTATATTTCACGCGGATCACTAATGATAGTGTCTTGAGCGTTGATAGTCATGAAATGAAAAACAAAAATTTGTTTAAGGAAGGTAATCAATATCCTCAATAATCACGCCAAAACTATTCCCTCGTTTTTGACAAAAGTCGAGGTAAAATATGTTTAACCTTCAGTTTTAGAAGAAAACCCAGATAAATAGTATTTTTTTAAGCATTACATTGTTTACACAGAATATTAAACAAACCCAGATTCGTCATCGTCACTGTAATTCTATATTTTGTTGCATTTCTTATATGCATCTAGCTTCTAATCTTTTCAGAGGTTGAACTCTTTTCTTTGTTTAACTTGAAGCAAAAATGATTTTCTACAATTGCAATCTATCATAGAAAACTTTTCCAACCTTCTTTAACTGAGCGTTATTCCAAAAATACATCAACACCATTATGTGAGATATATTGCAAGAGCAGAACAATATTTTGTTCAAGAATAGAAGAAAACTGAAGATTTTTTATGTCTTACAATCCATCCCAATGAATGATGCATACGAGTTTGAGGCGGTTACATATAAGTAACTATTATGGTAAAGTCTCTTTAACGAGTGCTTTTTGAAAAGTGCAAAATAGTAATTATATTTGTGTATATTTTAGTGGCACTTAACGATTCATTTTGTTGTGATCATTTGAATAAACCTCAACTAGTGTGCGTATTTGTACATATTGAGCATAATCGTGTTTTTGTGTAAATATTGTATCGTTTGATATTTTTTCACCTATTTTGTAGGTATTCATTCATAATTGGAGCATCGAGTAATAAAGGCCAAATGCTAAGCTTCAAGAATGCAATTTTTAGCGATTCATCAAGAATAAGGCTCAAAACAAGGATGAGAAAAATCATCAATTTGGTTGATATTTAGTTATTGTTAGTTACGACATTGAATAAGATTTCCAACGCTTCAAATCGTGCCTAAATCATAGTTACGGTTCTCAAGTTATAGCCAAAATAAAAGCTGATTTTTTTCGAGACAGCAGGTTTGGCGCTAAGCTCCCTCTGTGTGCGCTTAGCGCGCCCTGCGACTTTAAAACTCATTAAATAGGTGAAAAAACATATTTTAAGGTTATGGGTTGGGTATTTTTGAGTCCCAACACCATAAACTCCATTTTTTGGTCTAGAGAAGGTAGAAAACAACACAGGGTCTTGCACATGGATGATTCAGAGGTGGATTTTTCACTAACCGACGCCGACAACCCGCGAGATATCTTGCTCATTTCTCTTCTTCTCTATGTATTTCGGTTTTATTGGGTTTTATTTGTACTCTTACTTTAAACATATGTATATTTGTTAATTATGATGTTGTATAAAGTTTGCTTTACAAATTAATCTTGATGTCTTCTTTGATCTATTTGCATTTATGTTTAGATTTATGTTGTTGTATAGACAGACATTACAAGTCTTGATTAGGGATGGATATCTATTAGTTTCTAGATTCTAGAGATAGATTTAGAGATAATATTCACTTTGAATGCTAAATCTTAATGCCTCCGTGTTGTTGTAGCGCGTAAGACATTGCTCATAGAGTAATACGGTTGGTCTCGCGACTTGGCGTTAGACATAATCTTAGTTGTGGATACATCTCGTGGTGTCTGATGATTTTGACGAGTAGAGTAAGTTGAGTAAAACTGATCAATAAGTTTAAGTTTGTGACGAGTAGTATAAATTCATGCTGAATAGGTTTCTCTTCTCCAAAGAATGTATTTATTTTCTGTTAATAACTTTAATTCCCGCATTTACCACTTTAAAACCATTTAAACCCAAACTCAAGAATGCGAGAAAATTTCGAACAGAAATTTAGTAGCACTAATATTTGTGGAGATGATATGATAAAACTAACTAAATACTTACTTTTGCTTTCCGCTTTACCGCTTACACAAAATGAAGCTGTTATCGGGTGTAACGCGATGGGAGAATTGACTTGGTTGTTTTGCGTTTGATCGCAAATGTTACGGTTAGCAAGAGTCGCCACCGATTTTTATTTTATCCAAAAGAAAATGATGAAAAGAACAGGAAAGACCTTTGAGATGTTTTCTTGAGTTCATAGGGTAGATTATGAAAAGGAAAGGTATTAGCACCCTTTTCATCCGTAGTTAGCTACGGACTCTTAGTTGCTTGCTAGATCACTTGCTTTTGTTTGAAACTGTGCTTTGTGTGGTTTTTTGAAAGTGTTTTGAAAATGCGCCATCGTTTAAGAAAACTTTGTAATGATTCTCGTTCGTAAGAATGTATACAAAGTGTTGATCTTTTGAAAATGTTTCAAGTTTGAAAATGTTTTGAAAGTGTTGGTGTTTGTTTTGAAAATAACAAGGATGTTTTGGTTTGAAAATGAGCAAGCAATTAGGAACATTCTACCTACTCAAAAGTCTTTCTTGTTTATTTCCTCTTTCCTTTGACATTGTTATCTTACCATTGATTTGGTGAGAAACCCTATCTTTGGATGTAAAATGGACGGGCAAGGGTCATCGTATAGTCATGAATAATAATGTTGTAAGATATCTTAACATTTTCTTTAAGGGACTAAGATCATTCGTAAGGCAACATTTGTAGCGTCATCGAGGGACTATGATCTTGTATTTTGTTTGTTTTTGCTAAGACGTCTTACATGCATATTATGACCATTTATTTCTCAAGGCAACAAGTGGATTTACCCTAAGGGTGTAAGTGTGCAAGTGTGACTTTTTCATGCTTGATTTATCTTGTATTAGGGTTTGCTAACATGTTAATTTTAATCTTTCCATACAAACTCTAATTTACTAGCATTTATATATAAAGAATTAAATTGCAGAAAATAAAAATACTAAGCTATTACATCAATAGGGGAGGGGGTGTACAAATTTACAAATGGGGATTACAAGAAAATTAAATCTAATTAACTATTACAACCATATTGAGTAAATGCACAAGAATTGAATAAAAGTGTACAAATATAAATAAAAAAAGAAATATGATTTTTGTTTGGTTTACATGAAAAGGTTTTAAACTAAACCTAATTAAGAAAAATGATTAATAAAAATTAAATAAAATTAACTTAAACTAAATAAGAAAATAAATTAGCTAAAAAAAGATTTTTTAGGATTTTATTTATGAAAAGGTTTTAAATTAATAAAAATAATATGAATATTAATTAATTAAAAGAAACCTAAGTTCTAAATTAATTTTAATTGCAAGAAAATAATATAATAGTTAAACCTAAACCTAAATATTAATTATTAAGAAAGAAATTAATTTATTAAGAAAATGTTTTTGTTCTTTTAGTTTTATAAAACAAATAAACTAAATAAGTGTAAAAATAATAAATAAAATATTTTTTGGATTTTTATTAATAACAATAATAATAATAATAATAATAATAATAATAATAATAATAATAATAATAATAATAATAATAATAATAATAAAGGAAAAAGAAATAAAATAAAATAAGAAAAAGAAAATAATAATGAAAATTAGGGCAGGGGGTGCTGAAGTAAGGCTGGGAGTTAGAAGCCAACAAAA